GCAGTTTTCCGACAAGACCAAGCACTTGTCGGTAGTCTAATGTTTTCACAGCAAAAAAAAAAAGATAAAGTTAGGCTACACTAAAATTATGTATAACAAAGCTTTCATACAGCTTTGCACACACATTACTCTTGGATGGATTACTCACAAAAGCGGGGTCGAACAGAAATGACACCACCGGGCACCGTCAAACTATAACGCCAACCAGCTGCATACCATGCCAACATTAAAGGACGCCTTTTTTGCTGGTTTCTGACGACCGAGTCACTGTCCAAGTGCCGGATTTCAACGACTTCAGAGTGAGACAGGGTTCCCCATTCATAATTATGCTTAAGTTTAAGCCTTTATAAAACATAAACGGGTGAGTACGATAAAAAAATTTGCCCCGCATATAGCTGTCATCTTTTGGCATTTCCACGATAGTTTCACTTTTCAGCCCTGTATGTTGTATTCAACAGGAAAATAAGAAATATGAGGTATGCAAAACCTGAGAACAGACGAGCAGTGCATATACACTCGTGGCCAAAACAGATGAAAATAGAAACTACATTTCCTTGCACACATTCAACTCATGAGTCCAGCAACCTTGAGCTTACAGCTCAAATAATAATGACCTGAAGAGGGGAAGTGAGTGATGAGTGTGAGGGAGGGAGAGCGATGCAGGCATGGAGAGGTGGCAGAGGATGGAGAAAGAGGAGGAATAGAAGAGGTGTGAGAGTGAGGGAGGGTGGATGGACGTATGGATGGATGGATGAGTGGTAAAAGACGACAGGACTGCAAATGTATGGCGTAGCAGCAAAGTAAAGAGGGAATGGGGCCGAGAAAACAGGAGAGGTGGATAAACAGCCAGAGCGAGGGAGGAGGAGGAGAAGGTGCGGGGTGAAGCACTGTGTTTATCAGTGTTCAGAATGTACTGTGCTGTAGATTTGTCTGTAAATGTCATCTCCTGCGCTTGAGTTACAATAGAGCGCACTCACACAAGTCAATGACAGGCACACATATAAATACACACAGAAATATCAAAGAGGAGAAGCTGTTTGTCCACCCTGCACTTAATCGCTAAATCATTCTTATTTGACTGTCAGGTGTTCTTTTTTTCCCCTCCTCCTCCTCCTCCTCGCTCTGGAGCTTTTCCTCTTGTCCTCTCTTTGATTTCTTCACTCTCATCTCTTCCTCTGTGTGAAGAGCCCAAGGGATGCTGAAGAGGTCTTCACCTCAACCATGAAACACAGACATCAGAAAATAGGAAAATTATAGATATGTGGTGGATGCATGCCACAGCAACAAACAGAGAAACAAGGGAATAGGGCAACTCTCTTGTTCCCAGCTCTTTGCCCTATTGTCAACCTGCATGTGAGAAAATGTCACGCAGGTCTGTGCTGAGGTTTTCCTGCTCCGAAGAAGACAGGACAGGATAGCTGTTTCCTGAATGTGAAGGTTAAGCGTCCCATTTTATTTCTCTTTAGGCCCAGTTGCTTATCAGTCGGGGAGCAGAGTGGGTTTCCTGAGCCTGTCAGAGAATGGCCAGCGAAGGGAGGAGAAATCCTGTTTGTAAATCACACCGTAGGGACGTTGCTGCTGTCAGGGGACTTTGTTGACTTTGTTTTACTACCTCTGTCTTATCCTGTTGACAAGACAGGGCAGTGGTGTGTGTCGCTGACGTCACAACGAGGTAACAAAAAACTGCACACACATAAAGCCACCATCCACTACACCAGGTGCCAATGTACGAGAAGGCAAAAGGGGAGATGCACTTCACCTCCCATGTATGACGCCTCACCCACTCTTATGCTCTTATCAATAACACGTGTGAGCTTCATATCAGTGCCACGCGAGGAAGCAGAAGGTCAGGAGACAGGAAGCAAGTCTGGGCATGACACTGGTGTTCACGATCAAACGAGGCATGCTGAACATCTGATCAAGTGAAAGAGTTACATATGACATGAGTGGATATCTCTGTTGATATGCACATGCATACAGCATATGCTAATGCACACTCTGGGTCACTGTACATGTGTGTTTGATTGTGAGTTAAAGGTCAGATACAGATGGCTGCACCTGTAAAAAAAAAGAGGAAAAGGGAGTTAGTGCTGCATGAGAAACCAGGTACAGAACAGGATGCAGGTTCATATTCAAATTAACCACAAGCTTTTCTTTTTCTTCTTTATTTTGTTTTATGTGAAGAATTTGTATTTCTGTAGAAATTCAAATAATGTAAAAGGCGTTTGCTGCTGTGGGTGCCAAAATCAAAAACAGCGCTGACTGCAAAGAAAGTAAAAAAGTACATTTAACAGTACTTAAGAATAATTTTACTGTGCGCCAACTTTCATCAGAATTACACCAGAATTTGGACTTAAACTCAATAGCAGTCACAGATAATGCTTTAAATTACAGACAGCATTTGTGTATACATTATGGGCTACCTTTAATTAACTACTGGGTGTCTAGTAACAAGGAACAGTGGGGTGGCAGTTAGCACTGTCACCTCACAGCTTCACAGCTAGAGGGTTCCCGGTTCGATCCCAGGTGTGGGAGCCCTTCTATGCGGAGTTTGCATGTTCTCCCCGTGTCAGCATCGGTTTTCTCCGAGTACTTCGGCTTCCTTGGAAAACAGTCCAAAGACATGCAGATTGGGGATAGGTTAATTTGGACTCTAAAGTGACCGTAGGTGTGAGAGTGAATGGTTGTCTGTCTCTATGTGTCAGCCCTGCAATAGTATGGCGACCTGTCCAGGGTGTACCCTGCCTCTCGCCCAGTGTCAACTGCTCCAGCTATCTCATCATCAGCTGTTGGATGAATTTGTTTGAATTTGGGATTCGATGTTTATGATCACCATAGGATGAATCCCAGTGACTTTGGTGATCCTTTAAGTTTTCCTCTGGCGCCGAAAGTTTGTACTTATGCAGTTTGTACAGATATTCATACTTGTGAGCCATAAAAATCCTAATAACTTTAATGATCCTCTGACTTTTCAGTTGAGCCCACACTGTAACTAACCACACTCCCTGAAGATATATTATCATATTTTTATAAAAATTAATGTCACAGAATTTCACTTAATTTCCTGCATTCTAGTGATTTTTATACACCAATTTGTGCACTTTCTGCATCAATTTATGATGTAAATGCCTTTAATTTTGTCAAAATAAAAGTCCTCTGCTTCCTTCATGTTTTTGGAGACAAATGCACATGTTCTAAATATTGAGGGGACATCTTCTTCTGTCTTATCTTCTTCATGATCTGGTGAACATAGTAAACATGTTATTCGCCAGCATGTTAGCCTGCTGGCGCTTGCATTTTGCTCAAAGCACCCCTATGCCAGTGTACAGCCTCACAGATCTGCTAAATCACCTTTAATGAGATGTTTGAACAATATTATTGTTGTAGATGTACAGGACTAAGGAAACCAGAAAATATTCTCTTTTTAGAAGCTACAGAATTTTGTCTTTTTTTCCTGAAAAAGAAAATAACATCTCCTCCTTTTCATTGAAAAAATCAATTAATATGCAAATATATTTCATTTCAAAAGTTTACCTGCTAAGATGCAGAAAGGTTTCCTCTCAGTGGGGGATTCAAGTGCTCTTATCACACCTGTTGCATATTGGACCATGACACTGAAAGACAGTACATACATGCCCCAACTTAGGGGTACAGCAGCTTCTCCTCACTATTAAGCACAAGACACTCACTCTCTCTCCTGTATCACTCAGACCTGACCCCACAACATAAGGGCAGGTAGGAACCAGATAGCTCATAACCAAGGGAACACAATGACTCCACTTACACACAGCACATGAAAATACTAATGAATCAATATAAAAAGTGTTATAAATGACAAATAATAATTTACCAGTAACTCAATACGACTGAATCTATTACTGCTTAAGTAACACAGTAATTTAAGTGATAAAAATAACCTAAAAATATAATGTGTGCTGTAAATATAGTTACAACAGTATACTCACCAACCAGCCAAGAAGCAGTTGGAATATTTAGGAGAGTATTCCCACTTCCTCCCTGGTAAGCTATCTGGCTACTGAGTACTACAGTACACCCACCTCATCAGCTTCCACTACATCAGTGTGTTCAGATTTAAGGTGGGCACAGAGAAACTTTCCCCCTTCAGCAGATGCACGTGAAAGCAAGCTCTACACATGTATCCTATTTTTGAGTGAAGGTTTATTTATTTATTTATTTATTTGGATCCCCATTCGTCACTACAAAGGTAGCAACTACTCTTTCTGGGGTCCACACAAGCAAACATTACATTGTAGAGTAAAACAAATATACAAGAAAAAAATCTAAGGCAAAAAGAAATAAGTAACAAGGAAAACAGAAAACCTACAAAACAATAATCAAAAACAAACAAAATCAATAGATTAACCACAAAATTTTCAGACATTGTCAGAAAAAATAAATAATAATGATAAAAAATAATAATTTTACAGCTCAAATGTAATTGTAATACTACTAAAAATGGCACATGTAGTGATTGTGTGTAGAAAAGACCAGGATAGTTTCACTTTAAGTTAAAAAAAAACAACTTGTTCTCAGTCGTATTCTTCTGAGTAGCCTAAGTAAGCTTGCTCTCCATCAGTGCAGATAAACGCAGCAGTGTGTCAGGGTGGCTGAATTTATAAGACATGCTGTAATATTTAATTTCCTGTTTTCAGTGTTAATCACTAACTGACGCTTTCATATTTAATTTGCCAGTTTAATAAGTGTAATTATCCCGATATGACAGGGACTCATTAGAACCGTAACCCCTGATTGACGTAAACGGACACCGTTAACCGAGCAGCTCTCGCGCCTCTCTCGAATCGTAGGACTCGGATGTGATGTCACCACGGCAGCGCGCTGTGGCGGTCTCCAAGGCAACGCCGCGTGCTGCAGTGACGCCAGCCCGGGCCCCGGCTCGTGGTGAGTGGGCGTGACTCGCCACGCTAGCCCCCCCTTCTCTCCCGTCAGTGTGGGCGGGCCCCGCTCAGAAGAAGAGCGAGCGAAACACGACACCCCGAGGACGGAGAGACGCACGGGGGGAGGAGAGAGTAGCACTGAATGGTGTGAGAGAGTGGAGGACTTAAAAAAGTCTACAGAAAAAGAGGTTCCGCTCTAAACGGTAATTTCTGTCAAAGAAGTAACAAAGCCTCGCGGCGGAGGGATGTCAAACAGCGACGAAGATGCGGTTGAGACGGAGTAAACAGCCACCGGACAGTTAGCGAAACAACTTGTTAGAGGAGAAGAGAAAGGTTTTCGGCTGGCTCGAGTCGGGACGGTTGGTCGCTTTCCGCCGCAACTTGATTTCAGGCGAGTTACGGGACGAGAGGCGAGGACCGACAGCGAGGTCTTGACCGCTTGGCTCCCCGGAAAGAAAGCCCTTCGCTCGGTTTGCTCGATCGGCAGAGAGCCGGGGAAACGGACCGAGAGAGCGCGGCGGCTCGGTAACACGGAGAGCCGCTGAAGCAGCAGCTCCAAAAGTTTGCCGTGTATCTTCACCTAGTTTTCCAGATTGGGAACTAGAGGGGGAGGAAGAGGCCGACAGACTGACTTTTCTTTCCACAAGCAACTGTGTGGAATTCATCCTGTTTGACTAACTTTAGCCGGCCAGCTAAAGTAGCTAAAGCAGAAAAATGAAAACACCTGGAGACAGCGGTAAGTTTGCTCCTGCTCCTGCTATGATTATCTACCCACCATTGTCTTTCTTGTTTACTTGCAGTGGTTGTTGTCGGCAAAGCTAACACTTAACTGCATTTCTGATTAATGAAGCCAGATAGTTATCAACATCCGCTTCCAATCAAAAAACCTGTTGATTTTAGTTCTCAGGATCACTGCCACAGAGCGTGGTTTATCTAGATAAGATACTGAAAACTGGTGCAGGTTAGGTACTGTACTCCGGTTCAAGAGGAAGTGGTTTAACTATTGTACAGTTGTTACAGCGACATCCTCTGTGTCACCCTGACAACCTAATTTCACCATCCACCACCTTTCAGAGAACAGATTGAAAATCCTGGAATCACTGTGTGTGTGTGTTTTTGTGCTGGCTGAGTGAGACACAGCGATGTGGTCGTGTTGATAAGTCACTTGAAGACTCCTCTCCTCCTGGCGGTGGTGTTTAGGGTGATTGGATCTGGCCAGGTACACACGGAGCAAGCTGATATTAACCCACTAACTGATCATACATTTGTGAGGGACTTGGCCTTGTCAGCATATTGAAGTGAGAGCAGGGGGGGGTTTCCAGTAGTCAGCTGAGGTCTGTGTGTGCGTCTAATTCCTGAAATGCTTGCATAAGTTTGTTCCTGCTCCCTTCTCTTGAAGCCAAGGCATTTTTTTCCAGAAAGGAGGAAGTGGAAGTACTACTTTGTGCCAGCTATTCAGTTTATTATTTTTGAGTGTCCGTAATAGACTCAGCCTGACATGACCCTTTCTTGTAGTAACAAATCTGAGTTTGATTTGTATCAGTTCACATAATTAGGTTTTCTTTATGCACAAGGGACCTCTGGGATATGATCTGAAAGTGTATAACAGTTATTTATTTTGTGTAAAACAAAATGCACATATAATGAGGTTTTTTTTCCTTGTGATGACTTCCTAAGAAGTTACTGGTAAGCATGTGGTATGGGGCCGCGTGAGTGACTGACAAACTGTGTGGGACCCTTTTCCACTTGGGACGTTCCCCTCCCTTCCCCCACCCTGTCCCCTCCTGACTCCTGCTGCACCCAGCCTCAGCCCCTCAACCCTCCACATTCCTGCACACACACACCCACTCCTTGCAGCAGCCCCGAGGAGGCTGCCATGACATCACACCATATCCCACCACAAGTAGCCCTTTATTACAAGGAGCTCAGTGTTTGCGTGGCAGCAGATAGCTTAAGCCTTTCAGGGAAAGGTACTAAAAATTGATTGTGCTTATGTTATGGGTTTGATGTATGTGGTCAGTGTGTGTGTTTGGGTTGTAGGCTGGTTGTGTTTGTCATCTAGCCTTTGTGTAAAGGTAAAGAGCAGGGGTGTAAAGTGTGTGCAACCATCCAACCAGTCTTATTTATTATTTAACTTTGATGACAGGGCAGCCTTGAATTATTGTTTTGATTCTTGATTATTTTTTAAATTAATTTTTGTGTGTATAATGTTAAGCTCAAAGTTAAATCTTGAAGTTCTGAGGCTGTAACAAACAATTTCTGATTACTTTCTTGATTAATCATTTGGTCTATGAAAATACAGAAACATATGCAAATGCCTTTCACAGTTTCCTTGACACCAAGGTAACAGTCTAAAGATATTCAGTATACCACAATGTCCTTAAATGTCACATAAAGAAGCTCTAACTAGAACACATTTGGTTTATTTTGCTTAATAAATGACTGAAACACTTTATTGGATATCAGTAATCAACGATCAGCAAATGATTATTATTAAAAAGTAGAAAGGCATGCCGCCTTTTGCCCCCTGTGAGGATTTAAGTTTCACCAGTTCATTTGTAAGTTGTCAAAATTGAATTTGATGAAAACTCTGTTGAATAACTAATTGAGTAATCCTGTCAGCACTGGTTGGTAAACATAGCAACACTGTCTGAGAGGCATTATCTAACAACAAATCTGATCTTATAACAGCACCTTTAAATAGTTGAATTATGGAACTGGTTAATCCGACGTGCTGCCCTGATCTGTCTGATCTCCTGCTGTTGCTGCAATCAGGGCACAAGTTTTAACCCTTAACTTCTGCACATCCCATCACTTAGAGTGAACATGTTTCTCAGCCACAGAAGGATATTACAATGCGGGGATATGTGTAGGATAAAGAATGTAATCATCCCTTCCTAGGGTGTTTGGAGATGTAGGATTATGTCCTATACAGTAAGCTGCCTCTGTCTCTCCATCACTGGACACTTCCCCTCGCACTCCCGTTTTCCACAGTCACTTCATTAGTGTGAACTGATAGGATTTCTGCTGAGATAGAGAATTGATATGATGGAGCAGGAAATGGCAGGGCTATGGCTGCGTCTGTTGTTGCTGGCAGACTGGTGTTGGTTTTGTGGTGTTGGAAAGTATCTGATTTAATTTATATCTAATCACTGCTGTTTACCTGGTCTTTGTTTGTGTGTGACGTAGTTTGGGGGATTAGTGGTAAAGTATTCCACAGGTTGCATCAGTCAGCAGAAGGGAGTTGTTGGTATCTTGTCTACACTTAACACGGTTATATATCCACATTTTTATATACCTCAAAGGCTGTGCTAATGATTGATTAAGCTCTAGTGGTAAGGACATACATAATAATAACTTGCCTACTGTATGCCTCACCCTCCCTAATATGTTATCAACACTCCTGCCACACACACTTTGCACTTTGTGTTTCACTCATTTTCCTCCATCGCTCCCCAAGGGTTACAATTTTTCTTCTGCCACCTCTGTCATTCTTTTCTCTCTCTGACGGGATAAGGACTGGTGTGTGTCTTTGTGTGATGGAATTGCACAGTGGGACCCCTGGCTCTGGAGTGGCCATTGTGTGTGTGTGTGGAGCATGGGACAATGGTGGGAGTGGGGCAGGCCTCGGGGCTGATTGTGTGTAGACTTGTGGGGCCAGGGACCTCTCATTGTACTCATAATGGTGCGGAGTAGCTCATAGTTTGGTGGTGCTTTTGACAAGTGAAGAGACCGCACTTCTGTATTTGTGTGAAACGTGTGTGTGTGTGTGTGTGTGTGTGTGTGTGTGTGTGTGTGNGCTCCTGCTTCATCTCACTGAAACCGAGAGAGGGAGAGGGGGGAAGAGAGAGAGAGAGAGAGAGAGAGAGAGAGAGAGAGAGAGAGAGAGAGAGAGAGAGAGAGAGAAAGAAAGACTGAGATAAATGTAGACATCCCAGTCTATTTCTCATCAGTCATTCAACTACGTTGTTTAATGACGATTGTTTTGTGCTGCTCACCCAGAGTGATTGACGTGCTGTGAAGCCATTTTACCATTTACATAGACACACACACACAGTCACACTCACAGTCCTGCCTTATGATGTGGCAGGGCAGGAGACAAAAGGATAGCTTGTGTGCAAGGAACTGAGAGGGAACATTTCACCTTTTCCCTGTGTGGGTTTATGTATGCGATTGCGAGCATATGCTTTTCAATCTCAACACACAACCGCTGTGATGATAAGCGCAGCGATTAGCCTTATCTGTGAAAACTCCCTCGTAGTGCTGACCACAGCAAAACCACTACCTCCCATTATCCCAATACAGTTTTACAGCCTGGTTTATGGGACAGTGCCCTGCTGTGATCAGGCTCAGACAACATACTTTAAGCCCAAAGCAGATGATGTTCCAGAACAAAACTGGTTATCTTGTATCTGAAAAAGGTGGCAAAATTGAGACAGCTGCCAAAAATCAACTTTGATTGCTGGTTTGAACTTACCAGCTGTTAGGAATACTGCTAAAGCTATTAAGCCAAAATACATTTGCTTTCAAAACTGGGGGCTAAAATCCTATGCTGCACTTTACAGCTTATTCACACATTTGTTAGGATATTTATTATTATGTAGTGCTTAAAGTTGTTATAAAATATTGAATTTTACACTCAATATTAAAGAGATAGATTGAGCATTCCTAGCGCAGAAGCAGGATTGCCCACTTTTCCTTGTAGAAACAGTACTTCGTAAAAGTTTCGATATGGCAGTTTTTGACATTAAGTTGACAAATGACTTCTGGTAGAGGGGGCCTTCAGTTGTGGAAATGTCTGTATTTAGCCAGGAATGTGACCAAAGGGAACAATGTGCTCAGCCAGTCGACACTAATGGACCTCCACACCATTAGTCCTGTGCCGCCCTTGACCAGGGAGACCAGAGAGACCACAGCCAACAAGGTAGCATTACCCTTGGTGGCCCTGGCGCTTCTGACCGCTATCCAGCACCGCTAGCGGCCTGTTCATCCCTGCTTGCCCCAGGGACCCACACATTAACCTCAGATCTGGCGATCAAGTCCTATAGATTATTGGCCTCTCGGACCTGTTTGATCAGCTGCACGGTTGTGAGGTTCGACACTGAAGAGCTCCATTTAAAATTCACTTTTTGCGCTGATAACACAGCGGCAGAGCTAACTGTGTCCTCAGGGCATGTGTGTATGTCTGTGATATGAGGTGAGCCTAGTTTTACTGTAATGCCATTGGTTGCACCACAGTATGACCCCATATTGACCGTATTGGTTATTGGTCAGGGACAGTAATTGGATGGGTCTGCATGTCTGGATGGGACTGACTGTTGACAGATAACTGTAACACTTTGACTAACATATATGTGAGTACACATACACAGAACACATGCACTCAACACACACTGCTGCTTTTTATTGGAATTCTTGGACCTCCCACATTCCTGCTTAGAAGGTTAATAGTTGCCGGCTGTGTTGCATTACACATGAGGGGAAAACACAACAGTTACTATCTCTGCAAGCCTTTCCTGAACAGACTCACTCTGTGACTTGCAAAGGCATGCATGCATTCATATACAGACATATTTTTAATACCTCCTCAGGACAATATGAATAAACCTGATTTGAAAAAAATGCATTCAAATTAATAATGCATATTATTATTATTTAAGAGATTTAAATTAAAGCTAGCAGCCTCAAAATACACATTCACTCCAGCATGCACACACACACACAGAGGGTCTCTTT